TTGTAATTGGTGGGGGGGTCATTATTTTTTTTTTAAAAAGATCCCAGCAAAATACTTGGCCATATTCAGCATCTGTGTTTGTTTTGTTACTAAGGGGTACATAACTTTTCAAAACAATGAATCATTAAGTAGGAAGACATCTTTCAACTGCATCCGTGTCCTGATAAACCCTGTAAGGCAGAACCTGGCCACAGCAGTATTCCATAGCAACGGTGAGAGCTGTCTGGGCTTCAGAGAACAGTGCTAATTACAGAAGCCACACAGGTGTGCTGTTCCCTGCGGAAGCAAACATCTGCTTCGGATGATAACAGTTTCCACCTGCATCTGTGGAATTCTCAGACGCAATGGCCTGGATAGACAGCAGCTCATTTTACAATACAAGACTTAACCAGTATGGTCCCCTCCCTCCCACCATGCTCAATGTCACAAAGCAAACGTACAATGAATGTATTGATTACTTTGGAGGAAATAGCCAACAGAGAGCACATAAGCGCTGTGCAATTGCGACATCCTTATCTCTAAAGCCTGTTTTGTGAGGCTATGACACTGGGTTGACAAAGATGTTCTTCTATGGAATATTCTGGTTGTTTTCTTTGCAATTCTACTTTTCTAATCACATATAAAACATTTTCCTTTATTAGAAAACTGTAACTTTCCAATTTTACTTCTGCTGGGTAAGAAAAATAAAAATATATTTTAAACAGAGAAAGTGGTAGATTAAATGGTCAGAAAGGAAACTAATGAACTTTAACATTTCATAAAATTCTGATTTTTTTGTGCTTAGTATTTATCAATGCTTTTTACTTTGGAGTGAAAATAGGTATGTTGATAGGCTGCGTCAGATAGGCTTTTCATTTCCAGAGATTTTGTAATTTTCTGTCACCATCTGATGACAGATTTCTTTTTTTTAAATATTTATTTATTATGTGTACAATATTCTGTCTGCATGTATGTCTGCAGGCCAGAAGAGGGCACTAGACCTCATTACATATGGTTGTGGGCCACCATGTGGTTGCTGGGAATTGAACTCAGGACCTTTGGAAGAGCAGGCAATGCTCTTAGCCTCTGAGCCATCTCTCCAGCCCCATGACAGATTTCTTGCAAGGGAAAGACTCTATCAAAACCGGTGGGCAGAGCTTTTTAGCAAGCATGTTAAAAAAAAAGTACTTAATTTGTTCAGGAACAGTGGTGTATGCCTTTTTCAGGACTGGAGGCAGAGCAGGTGAGTTGAACACTCTGAGTTCAAGGCCAGTCTGGTCTAGAAAACAAATTCCAGGCCAGTCAAGGCTGTAGAATAAGACCTTGTCTCAAAAAAAAAACAAAACAAAACAAAACAAAACAAAAAACAACCAACTAACCAACCAACCAAACAAACAAACAAAAAAAAATAGTACTTTGTTGCAGTAACTACCAGTAAAGAATTTTAAAGATTTAGACAGTTGTATGATTCAGGATAATACTGAAAAGTTATATATTTACTGCAATAATACGACCGTCTTTTTCCTCACTCACAAAGTTCTTATTGATTCATACATCTCCTTACATATCACTTAAAGCGTATGACTTCTTTAAGAAGATAAAAACTTCACATTTCATAGTTCATTTTGTCTAATGTTTAGTAAAACTGCGAAGAAGATAAAACAGCAGAGAAAACTCATCAACCTGTTTAAATATTTTTTCTACATTTCTCAAAAAATTTTTGTATAATATACATGCATATTTACCTTGCAATGCATTGATTTTTGAAAGAAAATTTATTTCAGTAGTTGAACAAAGTCTTCCTGTCCTTACTTACTCTTATGATAGTGTATGATAATCTTAATTAATTTAGCATTTATAGGAACTTGACTATGTTTTCCCATTGCTGAGACAATGAGAAAATTTCATGGATTTCTTTACTTAATTTATTTTGTTTTCACCAAAATTATTAATTACTTTTTTATTGTTTTTAAACATATAGGTTTCTTTTTAAAGAATTTTATACATTGCATTTTAATCATATCCATCCATCTTTATTTTGTATTTTCTTAAGCATTTTTTTTACCTAGAAGAGATCTATATACTAGCCACTGTTGTGAGTGTACATAAAATATATATCCATATAAAAGAGATATTGAAATGCTAGGAGAAGCAAGATTGATGTGACATTCATATGCTTCCATCATTTATACCTAAATTGTCACATATAAAAATTTTGTGGTAAAATAATGCATTCTATCTTGTCCTATATCCTCTCTCCCCTCATAGCATTAGTATATGGTGTGCTTTTATACATAACCAGGACAGTGATCCTTAGCTTAAAAATGTCTCAGCATCCAAACAGAAAACGTTTGCTCTGTAAACAATTGCATTTTACATAGAAATGAAAATTGCATAGACAAAATTGTCTGTGAATGACAACCCCAAACACTATGATGATGTAAAAGTTAGTCAGTAAGAATCCTGAGTCATTGACCAGTGTTGTAATTGAGATATTTTCTGTGTGATTTTTTGGGTCTGGGCGGCTGGGAAACAAATGAAGAGTCTTCAGTTACACTATAATACAGTTTATATGTATAATACATACATATATATAATATTATACCATATCTTCACAGATAGCTTTCTTTATAACGGGCTGAGGTGTTCAATAAAAGCATAATTAAAAACTCAAGATGGAGTAGAAGATCAAAAGAATCAGCCTTTTTTTTTTTTAATGAACTGAGAGTTTTCCTGGTACCTAATAAAGAATCGAAAGGAGTGAAATCACCACCAGGAAAACATGGACTTTATCCCAAACCAAATCATGCTGATTCCGTTTGGTTTGTTTTTCTTTGTTCCATTGAACTGGCTGTTCAAGTTGCCTGACAACAGAAGGAAGCAAAGGCAATTTTATCTGCGTCACGGGAGTGAGTGCTCTGAACATCTCTGGAACAGCAAAGGTGACTGACGTGTTGGTCATCTTTTATACAATGTCTTTCAGCCTAGTTTCACAGAACTATGAAAATGACAAATTTGATTATTTTAAAGGTTAGTCTTATTTAAGACCGAAGAAACTTGTCTACCATAGCCCAAGGGTACATGACTATAAATGCCTCACAGTGCAATACATGTCCCTGTCCTCACACCGCAGTCAGTACACGTCCCTGTCCTCATGATTTAAGTATGTTGCAGGATTGATATTTCTATTTGTATGATATTTAAAGAAACATTTCTGAGGCTTGGCTCAGTCATGAAAAGCACTTGTTGCTTCCTCAGCGGACCTGGGTTAGATTCCCGTTACACACACGGCGACTCACAGTGTGTCTACAATTCCAGAGGGCACTGGGCATGCACATGGTGCACATACCACATGCGGGAGAAATCCTCATACACAGAAGATGAAATAAACAAACCTAAAATAATCTAAATTCTTCATGTTTCAAGAAAGTATACCTTTTAAAGCTTCACCTTGTTGTCAAATTATTCAAAGCAAGTTTGACATCCAGAGAAGATATTTTTCAGGATATCATGAATCTCAACAGTATTTCCCTCTTTTCTCCGCCTCTTCCCCTTTGACACCAGTCACCCTTCCTCCCTTCCTCCCTTCCTCCCTTCCTCCCTTCCTCCCTTCCTCCCTTCCTCCCTTCCTCCCTCCCTCCCTCCCTCCCTCCCTTCCTTCCTTCCTTCCTACAGTTTCCCTTTAGCTGCTTTCATGTTCTGTGGGCTTTTTTATGTGTGATTATATCTATAAAAATCTATAATTCACAAATGAGAGAAAAGGTTATATTTGTGTTTAAGCATCTGGTTTTTCTGTTCAATGTGAAACTCTCCAACTGCATCTATTTTCCAGGAAGGGAGATTTATTCGGTCTTTGTGACCGAATACAAAGCCATCATGTATGTACACCGCATTTATTCATGTGTTAACCTCCTGGTAGATACCAAGGTCAACTCTAACTTAGTTATTTTGAAGAGTGTTTCTATACACATGGGCCTCATGATATGCTGACTTAGATCCCTTGAGTATGTATTAGGGTGTGTTACAGCTAGATTATGTGATAGTTTGACTTTTAGTTTTCCAGAACCTCCATACTGATTCCATAGTAGCTTGACTAATTTACGTCATCAACAGCAACGCACAAGCATTTCCTACTGTTCCGTGTTCTACTCAGCATTTGCTGCCTTTTCTTGATGGACCGCCATTCTGACTGTGCTAAGAGGAAACTCAATGAGATTTTTATTTGCATTTCTCTGGTGGCTAAAGGTATTGAATATTTTTGTATGTTTATTGGTAACTTCTGCTTAATCAGGTGAGGACCAGTTGTTCTTTTTATTATCACATTTATTGATTTATTAAGTTACTTTGGGTGTTTGTATTTTATATCATTTACGGTTTTTAAGTTTTATATATTATGGAGATCAATTCTGCTAGGTTTTGTTCCTTTGTGATATATAGAAGGTTTTAAATCTCACGCAGTCTCATTTGACAGTTCTTGATATAACCTCCTGGCTTTGGGGTCCTTTTCATCAGAAGCCCCTGCCTAGATCTGGACCTTAACACTGCTTCTCATGGTCCTTCTGGCAGTTTCATAGCTTCTGGCCTCACATTGTGGGTTTTGATGTAATTGAGTCAGTTTTCATACAAGGTGTGAGAGAGATCTAGTTTCATTTGTCTTCGTGTGAATATTATTTTCCAGTACCATTTGATGAAGATGTTTTCACTAACCTGTGTTTTTGGACTCTTTGTGATAATTCAGCAGGCGGTAGCTGCATGGCTTGAATCCTGTGTCTGCTATTCTATCCCCTGATCTTTTGAGTCTATTTTCCATCATCCTCATGACTCTCCTAAAATATTTGGTACCGTAGGGTACCGAATATTTAAATAAAATTGAGGAAGTCAACAAGCAGTTAATAAACACAAAGTTATTCTTACTCGTTAGATGCTGGCTCACCATCGGGTGCTTTTGTCATTTTACACAGACAAGTTTATAGTGCCCCATGTAGATTCCGACACAGTTCAGTAATGTAAAAGCCACTCACCTTCTGTGTCTGCCGCTCCCATTCCTGGCTGCTTCACAGGGTCTTGTCCATTCTGTCCCATCTTTCCTCTGTTTCAAAGAGAAAAAAAAATGACATCTTTAGTTATGGTCTCCTTAATAAAATAAATAAAAATAAAAATTGGCTTGTAGCAATAAAATAACATTACATATTCAGAGTCAACTACGGATGATTTGAAAAGCAAGTATGCAAGCAGCTAATTATGCTACGTCGCATTAATTTTAGAATGGGAACTTCATTATTATTCCTAGTCAGTCTAAACTTAATATCACAGAAATCAACACATCTTATTTATAAACTCATTTATAAAAATTGAACTCATGAAATTTTTAGATCCCCCCCGTTATAGAAAATCTTTCAATACACAAACAACTTAAAAATGCTCACATTAAAAGACTACATAGTTCTTCAAAATTTGTATATATACACAATGGCCAAATCCAGTCAAACATACCTGTATCCTTAAACATGTACGCTTGCATTTAATTTTTAACTCAAGAAGGAACGATATCTTTATCATAACAAAGTGTTATGGGTTCTTTAGTGAGCAGGCAAATACTTAATTAAATAACACACGGAAATGGTTTTGTAACTTAAATAGATATTTCCTAGATGATAAAACAAGTGGTACATGAAAAAAATTACCATCACTAATCATTAGGTAATAAATCAAAACAGCAGTGAGTTATTACATTCCTCTAGTATAAATGTTTTGGCATGTCAAACAAATCCTGGCAAGAGTGCGGTGAGGAGAGATGGCTAACACACTATTTAGGGAATTTCAGTCAGGATGGCCATTATGGAGAATGGCGTGGACATTGATCAAAAATTAAAAGTGAATTTTAGCAGTGGGTCACGGTCCATGCAGGAACTCATAACTCCTCAAAGTATGACAGTGAGGACTACGTAGCCCTAAAAGAAATATCTGTTTCACCCACTTCAAGAAAGGTGGGAAGACTATGTGAGCCCGAAGACATGAAGGAATACTATGAAATGCTATCTTCTGGATATAATATGGTGTTTGCTGTCAAAACTTCATAGCGACTGTGAACACCTGCATGACCTGTACACACAAAATTGGAAACGTCCCTGGTGGGGTTAGGGAGGAGAAAGTTGAAGAGAAGGGAGAAACATAAAGAGACGATGAGAAGCTATGGAGCGAGGAATATAATAATGATGTGCTGTATACAAGGAGAAACCATAAAAATACAACACAACAAAAATCCTCTGTAGGACTGTGAGGTCACACGGTAGTTTGACTTTTGACCTTTGTCAAGTGAGAAAGTCTTTACTTCAGTGTTAATTGAGGATCCTACGAAGTTTTTGGCTCAGTGCTTGAGTAACTATAAATATTCAATATGGATATAGAATTAACAATTAGATAATGCTCTTACACTTGTTAACTGAATTTAACAATAAAGCCTCTCTTAATTTTAGTTTTGGCCTCAAAGCCTTGGTCAAACCAACTGGATAAACACTTCGCAATCCTTTAAACACTGTGATGGTAGATTGTTAGCTGGATAACAGGCTGTGGCTACTTCTTGTTGCTTCAGCCTGAGGAAAGGATTCATGACATTCAGTGGGCTCTGCAATTGCCTTTGAATGTATTTAGATTCCATCACAACACGATAGAATAATACTCAAACATGAGCTGGGTGTGGTGGTGAATGACTTTTGTCCTAGCACACAGGAGACAGAGGCAGGCAGATCTTTGTGAGTTTGTGGTCATCCTGACAAACATTAAGAGTTCCAAGACAGCCAAAGCTACATGGTGAGACTTAAAATAACAACACCACCAACGAAACAAAACAAAATACACACACACACACACACACACACACACACCTCACACCTTCAACATGCTAAATGGAATCATGAACCAAAGAATGCCTTTATATGCAACCTTCTAGATAGTAATTCTGATACAGAAATGTTTATTAACAATTCTTATTTCCACAAAATGGCTTTTATTTCCTGGATCTATTCAAATTGTAACTACTCTTATTTCTTAAGAATCTAATTATTTCTTTTTAAAAACCACTTTAAAAATATCCTCTTGTCATCCGATTCCAGAAAAGAATTTGGAATGTTTCTGTATGTGACAAAAAAGAAACACGTAAATTTATAAATTGGTTTATCTTCAAAACCATTATATTGTTCTTTTTTTTTTAACAATTTTAGGTCAAATATTTAAGCACAAAATTCTCTTTAGTGATTGAGGACCACGTGCATGCAGATTATAAAAATGTTAACATTAGTATTGATGTGTGTATATGTATATATGCTTATATGTATGTATTCATGAATACAGATGCTAGGAACTATATATCTGTGCAATCTAGATGTCTGTGTATACTGTCTCCATATAAACTCATAGTCCTGTTTAAGCAGCATGTGAAACTTCATTTACACTTGAAGACTGAGCCTAGGTGAGTGTACATTCTAGGCAATTGGTCTACCACTGGGCTGTATTTCCTGATGAGCATCAGATTGTGTAATTGTTTCATTAAGACGACATTAGTTAGGTTTAATAAACGAATGCTCCTCCGTCTGTTACTGTTAGAGGAAGGAAAGTTTAGGGCTTAGCTGCATTGTGTGTGCTGGGAGAACGAAACAGAATGTATCGTGTTCCTGGGCAAAACCCAGCAAAGGCTGAAGATTGCGTCAGGACTGCCCGTACAGCAGGTCAGAGTGTGGAAGAGATGCCCATCTATCTCTGTGCTACGTCAAAGTTTATAAAAAATGTTACAATTTTATTAGCTTTAATAATTAAAATTTGATCTGAGTCAACAATTTTATTTTTAATGATGATACCTGAAAATAGTCTTGGCTTTTAGTGAAAACCGAGTTTCCTTTTTTAAAAGAAAAAGCATCAAAATGGGAAGGCAGTCCACCTTGAAGAACGCACGACATCTCAGAGCACATGGGCCCAGTGAAGCTGAGTGACGTTCAGGGGGAAATGCAGCTGTGTCTGTGTGAAGCAGCCAAGTTTCCAAGTTCTCCTCAAATCGTCTCCAACTCAGAGCGTTCAGATAGCAGACGGTGTACCTTGAATGCCCAAGCTATCTATCAATCTATAGCTGTTAAACACTTATTCCAGGTCTAACAACAATTGCCCGGGACACGAGACGCTGAAGAGAAGGAACAAATACTATTTCTCACATAGGCCGTGCAGTGACTTGTCTTTGTGTCCGAATTGTAAAATGATTGTCTCTACACAATATTGAGACATATTTACTTAATGAGAAAGACACGAAATAAGAAAAAAAAATTGGGGTTATGGTAATCTTTTCACCTCAGACATCGAGACAGACCCTGAGGAAGTAAGACGATTTGTTCTCTGGAAGTTATAACTTTCACTAAATTCTATAGTCTGAAAGGTCCAGACAGAACAGAAGGCTGTTAGACTCTTTGTTGTACAGTCTCTATAAATAGCTATGATATTCACAGTGTAGAGAGAAAGGCAATGAACTCATTTAAAATTCTGTTACTTCTTCCAGCGAGATTATCAGAAGTGAAATGTTAATGATATCAGATTCTTTTTAGGAATGATTTTCAACAAACAGAACTGGTTAAGTATAACCACTCCTATTTATCCCATAAAATAAATTTCTAAGATAAAGTCATAGAAGAAAAATCTCTCAGACGAATTGGTAACAGAACAAGAATTCCTTTAGGTTGGAAAGCTGTAATGAAAGCCAAAAACACTGCATCATTCTGTGTAAAAAAATCTGCTTTCCCTATTATTTTACCTTCTTCAGATAAATTGGTATCTAACTATTTGAATTACTGAAGGGATCAAATGAGATGTTTCCATAACATTTTGTATGAAAATAATAAATTCCACTGCCTAAGAAGACTTCCCAGCACTGGGGAAAATGCAGACCCGTATCCCGATCAGAACCATTTCAGATGCTGTGTGTTACAGCAATTCCACGGTGCCCTGTAGAGTAAAAGCAAGGAGGGGGAACACAGACGTCCACCCACATGAGCAGCTCTGTCCAGCACAGCTCAGCCATAAGAGGTCACTTTTGTATATTGTTCACGTGTCATGAAATAGCCTTCCTCTAAACATTAAAAACGGCAAAAGCCACCATTCAAGGTTCTTAGAAAACCAGCCTTTGGGCTCTATGAGCTGTGGCCTACTTACAGCTCTGAATACCCTAGCAGGGCCTCCAAGCCCCCAAGATTATAGTTCATGGAGAGAAATAGAAAAGTCTGCCAGGTTAGATTTTGAAACCGGAACTGACATAATCTACAAACCATCTAAATCCATTCTATCATAATCTGCTTTAGTTTTGTATATGAGTTGCAAAATTGCTGTCATGAGGCTTAGCGTACCATGAATGAACTATATTCCCAGAGAACGAATGTTTCTGGAACAAATTTAGAAATCGCAGAAACACTCCCAAACCTTCCATTCTAACTGCAGAAAGGTTTAGAGTTGAAAAGGCTTAACGATTATCCCAGTTTGCCATCTGTTTCAAAGATCCTATGAATTCTTCAAATGTGAATTCTCTCCTAATTAAAAACAACCAATCTGTGTTAATGTCAAATATCAAGGTTGGTGTCTGGTCTTTGTGTGATGAGCGCGCGACTCTGTACTCCAGGCTGGCCTAGCTCAGTTACTATTCTAACGGCATTTATGGTAAATACAGGCAGCGCAGACAAAGTCAGTATACTAGCCGTCTGTGTTCATCTTTAGAATTATCTGAGACAATCCAGTCGTCTCTGGACAACTGATTCTTACGTAGGCATCGGCAGTTTAGATGTCCAAGGACCGTGATTCAGAATTGGATTAATTACCTTGTTTTCCTCCCGTGAAATGCTAAGGAGGAATTACTCACGATGCTGTTAAAATTGTAGTTTCTGTCTATTTTATAAAATGACCACTTACATCCTTGGGATAGGAAGTAGATTGGTTTCTCCTGGCGCGGAGCTGCTTCCTTCACTGTCCACGCTGTACCCACTGCCAACGCTGCTGCCCGAGGAGCCGGTGGACACGGAGCTCTCTGCAGGCCGGTGATTGGCGGGCTTGGCTGCATGACGTGGGGGAGAGCCAACACCATAGTCAACAAGTGAAGTTCACTTTTTATCTCCAAATGTCAAACTACACATGTGTGCAATACTCATAGACAGCGTCGGCAGAGACGAAATGTTCTCTCTTCTTCAACCTGCCTCTCCTTTTCATTTCTTTAAGCCAGTAATGAACACTGGCAATGTAGAATTCCTTCACTTATTTTTTAACTGCATATGAGAAAATGGGGAAAACATTCCCATCTTTAGACTTAGTTAAGTACTATGTCATTCTTCCACTGTTTTTGCTATGCGTACAGCATTGCAGTAGTGTTCTGGCAAGCAAAAGGGCGGCTGGGAAACTTCACAGAGAACTATTTTAACAGAATTAAAGAGATTGGGCAATTACTTTTCATGTTAATAGCAACAGGATAGTCTCATTAGAAGGGAAAAAACACGACAGAATAGATATTTACAGGTGGCTCTACCAACTCTCCAGGCGTTTCTGTTTTTAAATCGAAAGGTCTTTCTCTCCCGATGCTATGCTGTGATTGAAACGGGGACCTGTTTCAGTTTTCGCGAGCTTCAGTTATGGACACATGAGTCCACCAACCACAGAAACATAAACAGATCTGTGCTGTCTATTATGCGAGTACGCAGCAGGAGCCCAGCACTGGCGTGGGGCAGAGCTCTAGACTGAAAGGAGAGGGGCGGGTTTGCCATGCACGAGGAAGGAACGGAAGAAAGGCAGTGCCTGCTCGAACTTTGGGAGGCAGAAGTTACTTAGCAATTATTTGAAGCTCGTGATAAGCATCCCTTGCCAGCTCGAGTGACCTTTCGTCTTCCTGGTCTGTGCTTACTCGGTAGACCCCTAAACCTGAGCTGTTGTGTGTGGAAACAATGCCATCATCACAGTGATGACCTTGAAGGACGGAGAATAGGAGCTGCATGAAACAGGAGCCCAGTGGTTTGCTCTCCTTCCTCTCGGGATTTTAATTCCCAAGCTCCCACCTCTTCTTTCTTGGCATTAACAGTCTATGGCTGTTTATTAGTGTCTTTGAGCATACCTGCTACTTGACAATGAATTGATCTGATTCTAAGTCTATATGTGTTCTAAACTAGAGGAATGTTTAGCATCCCTTTCTCAACACGCACATCCCTGTTCCATGAGTAGTCTCTTAGTCAAATGTGCTTGTGCTACTGGGTGAAGGGTTAATAATCATTTCATATTGAGAGATCTATCTATATATTTCTGAAGGAAATATTTAAACATGATGATTCTTAGCCTGGAGGACTTCTAACCAATATAGTCGAATAAAATGAAAACTCAAAGAAATTGTACAGGAAACTGAGGGCAGGCAAGGTAGCTACTATCAGGTCTTGAAAAGAATTTAACTTTTCCTTTACACCGCCTTGTTCCATTACAGCAATAAAATGTTCTCACAAGCTATCCAATATTTTCATATCTGTTCCAATGATGGTAGAATTCCTTCCTCAGAAGAGGGGAGCAAGAAAGAATTTTTAACACAAGTCAGTATATAGATGATGCTTATAAAATGCAAACTGTTACTTAAAAGAAGGTCAGAGTGTTAGTCACCAATAAAATATTAGTTACTTACATAGGTCTATATCTGCATAAAATAATAGTTCTAATATTTGCTAAATCTTCTATTCAGTTTATGTAGAAACTCAGATTGCATATCTAGTATTAAAGAAAATATTTTAAAGTGCATAATTAAAACTACAAAGTTAACATGACTAGAATATTAAATTATTAATATGTATACACCAATTAAACTGCATAATCAACCAATAATGACTCAGATTATTTCATTAATTCAGACAAATGAAAATTGTCATGCTTTGAATTGACATTAAATAATCCAACCCATTAGATTTTTAATAGTAGATAGTATAACACTGAAAGAAAAACATTAATTTTATTAACCAAAAAGATAAAGCCTCCTCAAATCAACCGTCTTTGCTGGTTTCAAAGTTAGTTAATAGAAAATAATTTAAAATGGTTTTTATCTAAGAGCAAGTACACTGCATATCAGAATTGCTACCTTAAAGGACATATCTCTATAGTAACTTCAATTTACTTATAAATGTCAACTTCAAGTACCATGGGCTTCATGTGTTTCCCTCTTCCTTTACATCAGAACAATTCCTAAATCTGGAGAATCCATTATGCATGATCAATGTATCATTTATGAGAATGGTCACTTTCTAGTTGGAATGATATTTGTTACATTAATGCCACATTGCTGGATCCTTAGATATTTGGCCTTGAACAGTGATCAGCTAATAGTTGATGAATGAACAAACAAATGAATATCAATGCCAGTGATTTTTCCTAAACCAAACACCAAGAATGCCATATTTACAGGCAGTATTTCATTTTATCTATGGTGTATTTTAAAGAAATTATGCATATCACTTATTAAAAGTGAACTGATATAGAAGATTTTCCTCTCTCTGGTGTTGGAGGTCTGACCTAATATGCAACCCCCCCCCTCTCTCTCTGCCAAAGACACCTGTTGAAAGCATATCTTTGTAGTTTATTAAAATAAGTAAGGACAATTTTTATCCCCTCAAATGTGGAAAAATATAATCAGTTGACTAGATTTTGAATTCCACTGCACTCAAAAAAGGGTTCGAGTCAAGGTATTTAAGTGCTAATACTAAACACTGAAACCATAGATTTTTGTGCTAATATACTGAAAGGCATAGATTTGTGTGTTAATATACAAAGTACTGAAAGGCACAGATTTGTGAAGCAAAAAGTTCATTAAGAGACCATGAATAGCATATAAATATAAATATTCCCATTAGATGAAAGAAAATACTATGCAGCCGGGCGGTGGTGGCGCACGCCTTTAATCCCAGCACTCGGGAGGCAGAGGCAGGCGGATCTCTGTGAGTTCAAGGTTAGCCTGGTTTACAGAGCTAGTTCCAGGTCAGGCTCCAAAGCCACAGAGAAACCCTGCCTCGAAAAACCAAAAAAAAAAAAAAAAATACTATGCATAGCAGTGTTGTGTGGTCACAATCACGTGCACAAATGCTAGGAGTTGTTCACTTCCTATCCTGGTATACAGACAGAGAGCTTCGAATTTGATTTCAGTCTAATATCTCTTTGTTTTCCTGCATTTTCAGTGAAATAACACAGAAACATTAAAAGCTTGGTCTTCCACGAGTTTGTGATTTTGGGAATCACGAAATAGTCTACATCTGATTTCCTCCCAATTCTTTGAAGTCGAATTTCGGAATTCATATAACGCTGTACAAGGATACGGTATGCATCTGGGTGCTGAATAGTAAAACGATCTTTTCACAAGAGAATTGAAGTTTTTCAAAAACGCCAACTTTTTTTTTTTTTGGAATCATTTTGAGATATCTATTTTGGTTTTGAAATGCTGATCACAAAGGTTCCCAGTGCAGGAAAGACTGAATGTTGCACGCACTCTGGGAACACTTGCTGTGTTGCACGCACTCTGGGAACACTTGCTGTTGTTGCGCAGGACAACATCTTAGAGGAGCCCATTCCTTCTTGATCCACGGTTATTGGGGAGGTTATTGGTTTCAGGTAAATGTTTTACCTTCTTGGGGACAATACAGACTGTTTAAAACTCTTTCCCTTTATCATTGCCTTTGGCTGTTTTCTGGTTACAGCCTGTCTTGTTTTATTACTTCTTGGTGGCTAATCCTAATTAAATATGGTACTGTCTCTGCACATCTGTGGTCCTTTGGTTGTCTTGGTTGGATGCCCTGCCCCCTCCAGGAGACATGGCTATGCAACGCTATCACCCTAGCTACCACACGGTGGCAGCACGGTTCTCAGAGAGCTCGCCAAATTGTGGAACTACCTGCGGCTGTGGAACCCTGGCCTTCAGGAGCTCGTTAAGACCTCTAAGGGTCTTGAGCCATCATTTCCCCGTAGGAAAAACAGTCTCTGTAAAGATTAATGACTGATTATATCTCGCAGCTAATGAGAGAATTTAAAGTTGCCAGTTCCCTTTTAGATTGCATCTCGTTGTCTCAAACAAATAAAAAAACTTGACGGCTTTGGCTACTTTAGAACTCAGTACTTAGTCTAAACTTAGCCTCGCTTTGTGCGACATTGTATCATTGGTCTTACAGCGGGAGCAGCAAAGACCTGTGTGTGTGCCAGTCTTTCCGGAATAACTCCTGATCCGGGCAGCTCGCAGCCAGTTCCTGAATGATTTGATTTATTCAACACTAAATCTTCTCTTTATAGACATAGTCTGTAGGGCTTTAGGAATGTTTGATATTACAAGAAATGAATCGATTATTATTTTGTTTATTACAGTAGTTTGATATAACAGAACTGTTTCTCTTAAACTATATATANACCTTTTCTTCTTTCCTCTTTTGCCTCCCTGTCTCCCTCCCTTCCTCATTCCCTCTGTCCCTCCCCCCATTCCTCCATTCTTCCCGCCCTCCCTTCCTTTCTTTAACCTCCCTTCCTCCCATGTTACTGCTGCTGTTAGTTTTTGGACTTACTCTCCTGAAGGGATTTTCAGTTTTTTTTTTTCTAAAATGCTCATTGAATATGAAATTAAAATGCCAGCTTTTAAGTCTAAATATGACTGGCATTATTCAATCTGTTTCCCCTTAAACTTTGCCTGATTACATATTTGAGTATTTTCCCTTTACAGTTCAGGATTATTAATTTAAGGAGAGATATTACATTTTATATTTTAGAAGGCAGCTCTTTCCTAAGTTAACTTCAGTGTGTTTGTTTCCAAGTCTGGAAACATTTTTTTTTTCCAGTTTCCGAACTGAAAAGCATCACAGAAATCTTCCACACTGATGCTCGCAGGAGTGTTTACACGTCCCTTGGTTTTGCAATGAAAATTATTGAAAATCAATATCTTTGACACCTAACTCAATCCCATGTAAATCTTGGAGATGAGCAATTGAAGTAAGGAGGTCTCGGAAGCATCCTTAAATAGCGAAATTACTAGTTGCCGCCATTCGCAGTATTTCCTATACAGATGAC